ATTGTTTAGCAGTGATACCGGACAGTGCACGCGCGCCATCTATCCAGCGATTAGTAAATGGCGCACCCCATTAGAAATGCACATGCTATTGGAAAAAACGGCAGGCCCTACATCGATGTCGAGGCCAAGGGGTTAGATGTCGGCAGCACTTGCCTCACCGACAAGGCCTGCCAGAGGTTCATTCTGGCGATAGCCGATACAACTTACAAGGCGCCGGGAACAGTTTGTAGCTATAAATGAGGCCAAATTCCTTGCTGTGATAAGTGACGGATCCACAGATTCCTCATCAAAGGAGGCCGAAATTTTATTTTCGAATTAAAATTTTATTTAAAAGGAGAGACCCCCTGTACCCCCTAGCAGAAGGGGGGCTCCACCCTCCTACCCCACATACCTCCTGGCAAATCACAATGCTCGTCGCTCTGCGCCTAGTAAGAGTCCTTCGGCAGGACTAGTAGAATCTTTGAAGGACTAGTAAATTTTTTCTTTTACTAGTCTTGTGGACTAATGAACTAAAATGGTTAGTGTCTAACCCTGACATAGATCGAAAGCTGGATAACTTATGTGCTTGCTCGCGTTTGTAAGTACACTTGTGCTCTTTTACCTTAGTCATATTTCAATTTGAAAATTTGTTGCTAACAATATCCCGCCGATTATCGCCCATCCATCGTCCAATGCGTGAGGTCAGGTGGCGTACGCGCAAGTCTGAATCGTGACGTAGCGATTGGCTCGAACTGTCACGTGGTGTAAACAACCGGCTCGGCCCCCCCTTTGAATTTACTGTGTAATCCGACTTTTAAACCCACCTTTCTTTTTTTCAAATGACTTTGCAAGACACACATTGCATTTTGAGAAATTAAAAAGATAAAACAATAATAACTAGTACCTTACTGTATCGGCGGGATGTCGTTAGCATCAAATTTTCAAATTGAAATACGACTAAGGTAAAAGAGCACAAGTGTACTTACCAACGCGAGCAAGCACATAAGTCAGTCTGCGAAATTAACCACTGGCCCTGTATCCGAGGCCAGTAAATTTTCTGTGGGGCCAATGAAACTGGTAAATGAACAAGCCCGATGGGCCAGTGGGAAAAAATGGAGTAAATGGTCTATTAATGATATTTCAGCTTCTTTATGTGATGATCAGTCTGAGCATTTACCGAAATTCCCCATATTTTGTATGATATTTCCCGATAGGGCATCATATTATGAATGAGCGTGAAAACTGCGTGATGGCAGTGACAATGAGATGGGGGAGAGGGAAGTGGATAATTTTTTGTTCAATTTCATGAAAGAATAAATCTCTAAGAATACACCAAAGAGTTCTGTTTCTCTTTTCATAATATGATGATCATTGATTCGGGCCTGTAAAACCCAGAGAGACATGATACAAGATTGTGTGGCACAGCTTTGCTGTTGATCCTAAGTGGCTGCTGCGCGGATGAGACGCGCAGTTCCGCGGGATATGCGCACGCAGACCGCGCGGGATGTGAAGTATGAAGCGCTGCGCCGTGGAGACGTGCGCCAAATTCGAGCCCGGCGCACGTCTCCACAGCGCGTCAGCGGATGGTCTGTAGTTTTAGACAGATGACAATGATTAATATATTGACGATATTGTAGGAATTGGTGAGATTATAAAAGTGTTTAACAAAAATTGCTCAGTCATTCTCCAGATTAGCTGAATCAAAAAGATTAGAATTTAATATGAACAAAACAAATACAATGGTTATAAAATTCACAAACAAAGAAAGGATAGAGAATTTAATAGGCAACCAAGTAATCAAAAAATGCACCAAATATTCATACCTAGGGGATTTAATTAATGATATAGGAGGTTATAACAATATGATGAGTCCGAACTTAAAAATGTAGGTTCACGACGAGGGAAATATTATCATGGGCAGAAGAGCCAAATTATGGAATCATACTATAGAAGCAAGAGTGAAATTATACGAATGCACAGTTTGACCTTCCTTCCTAAATAACAGTGAAAGATGGACTAACTTAACTAAGGAAAAAGTAAAAATGTTGGAGGATTTCCAAAATGAGTGCCTGCGCAAAATAATAATCACGCAGAAAACCTACCGAAAGGCATTGAAAGACGATGAAAACTCCAAGGAAAGATACGGAGAAATCAGTAAAAATAACATATAGTTTCTATACGTAAATCGTGGTAAATACATATAAAAACGCTTTATTTTATTGAAAATCCCCATATTTACTTATAAAACATCCAAGAGATGGCGCTGTGGCATGTAAACATTAGCCCCGATTAGCCTCCGAAAATTGTGTGTTTTATTGAATTGTTCAATGAATGACGCACTCGTCGACTTCCGACTGCGAGTAAGAATGCAGAAAATTGTCCTGTTCGATGCGAAATGCATCGGCCGGGCATTTCATTATTTAGGAAAAGTAAATAGGCCGGCGAAAAACGGTAGGCACAGCAACGGCAGAGGCGTGTTCAGAAGAGCGAGCGCTCGATGCGAACGCTCGATGAATGAACGCAGCGCCTCCTGAACGACACACGAGCGCTCGCTGTGCGCTCGCTTGATCAAAGATGGCGGCCCCCATGGAGGGTTACTCAGCAGATTTTAATCGCGAGATTTTAATGTCTTTGAACAAGTACTGTTATACGAATTAGCAGACGAAATTGATACAAATTGAATTTAGAAGTAAATGAATGAATGAAAAATGAAATAAAGTTGAAATAGATTGCAAATTGACGTCAGTAATGTTAGATTCGCATTCGCCAGATTTTTCGTCACCATCTTGTAAACAACCCGCGCGCTGAGTGAACAGCGTTTTGAATTTGCGCGCAAACGCTCGCTCGCGCTCGCTCGCGCAGTGTCGTTCAGAAGGCGAGCGCTCGCGAGCGTTCGGTCTCCTGAACACGCCTCAGGTACGGTAGGTAACGTCGGTGACGCCCCATTCATGTCCATCAACGAAGAAGGTCGAGCTTATTCTGTTTACGGAGATGCCAAAATACAAAAGAAAGACCTATCGCAGTGCGCTAAACAGCGTGTTATTTTCGTTTTTGTGCCAAACTCTATCGTAGGAAACCGTTCTAGCCTAGCAGAATGCCCTAGTTCGTGAGATCGGCGATTCCGTGCCGTAATAGGTATTATAGCTAAAAGTTAGGAGATAAGGGGGCGGCGTAGACTGATTGGAAGACACAAAGTGTCAATCCTCGGCGAGCGCCTCGGCATCATGGCCGCATCAAAGACTAGTGTGGGCCAGTGAATTATACATTTCACAGGCCCGCTGGGCCAATGAGGGTGGAAGTTTTTCGTGCAGACTGATAAGTTATCCAGCTTTCGATCTATGTGTGTCAGGTCTTGATTGATAGCCCCAATTGTGAGCTTGGAGCGATGAAACAGCGATCCTCAGCGGGATTGGAGAAATTCCACGTTTTTTATGGGCAAGTTGCTCTGACCTAACCCACACCAAATCCACCAAAATTGTCAGTGTGGGCATTGGTCAGAGGAAACTCGGACTAAGTCAGACAGTACACATAAATATGTAGAATTTATGCAAATAAAAACAGACCAACGTGTTCTACAAGTTACAACTTGTAATTTATACTCGTTACCTTTGTTCATAATTGTAAAACAGTTCATTCATGAATTGCCATTTCAAAAGCGAAATCTCCATACTGCATACGTCTATGTCCATGTAAATTCCAAACATAGTGAAAATTCACCAATTTTTTGAAAAAATGTTGGTGATTTGATGAGCAGTAGCTAAGAATGATGTAATTAATTTGTCCCCTGGAATTATACTACTATTACAACAGGCTTTCCAGCGGCCCTAAAATTCCTAAAAATTCCTAAAATTTTGAGCTCGCCCTAAAATTCCTAAAAAAACTTAAAAAATGTATGCAATTCCTAAAAAAGGGCTAAAATTTTATTCAAATTCCTATAAAAAAAAATCACAGATATGTTTGGAGTTTTTGGTGATGAGATGCTGAACTTTTGGTTTGTAATTATGTCTGGTGCAGGGTCGCCAACCATTCCTCATTCTGCGGAATCATTACGATTTCTAGGCTTAATTTCCGCATTCCGCAGCGGCAAGGTTATATTCCTCATTTCAGTTGCACTGTACAAAATTTGCACTGATTGTTCGCATTGTTCGCTTGGACATATTGTGTTTTTTCAGGCATTTTGTATCTGGCATGTCTACGGTAAATGGAATAGCCTAGTCAGACATGCGCTGTCTGCAAGGTGTCGCGTAGTTTGTCTGCTAATCAGACAAGGGTTGTAGGGTTGAGTCTAGGGTTGAGATAGTGTTATCAGACATGAGAATATGGCCCACAGTATGCCTCAGATTGCAAGAAAATGGCTTAAATATTTCAAAAAAATTTTGGGGGCATCCCCTCAGACCCCCCTAGCACTGGCATGCCTACGGCACGCGGGCCTGCCTGCGGCAGCCAAGGTACATTTCGCCCCCCCTGTCCATCAATTTCGGAATACGCCACTAGTTACTGATCACCGCGGGAACATTCCGCATTTGGAGTTCACAGGGTTGGAGACCCTGCTAATGGATGTTTTCTAGTTATCTTTATACAGAGTAAGTATTGTGACTCTCAGTCTACCAGTGATTCCTAAGCTTCAGTGTCTGATTATACGACCCTGTTCCTGGCTGGATGTACAAGACATGCCTAATTTGCATGAAACTTGATGATGTACAGTCGTATCGAGGACTTGGAGGATAGGAATAGCTGGTAGACTGGACACATACCACATAGAACTGTATCTGTGAGTTAACACGTTGATGTTTATGAAAGTTAGTGACTTATTTTATCCCTAAAATGTTTCTGATTCATCCCTAAAAATTCCTCAAATAGCCCTGAAAAAACCTTAATTTCTCCCTAAAATTAGCCCTAAAATGTTGTCAAGGACTGCTGGAAAGCCTGTTACAAGTATAGGGGCACACGTGGTAAGCTACAGTCTGTGCTTGCCAAATCTCACTATCCCTGTAGGCTAATGATCTTTAACAATTTTACAGCCTCTGCGGTTAGATATCAAACGGAAATTGTCGGCAAGGTCTGATCGTGTGAAGTGTGTTGATCTGCATCCCACAGAACCATGGATGCTGGCCAGCTTGTACAATGGGAATGTACATGTGTGGAATCATGAATCCCAGGTCACTATTTTAGTTTGATTAATGAACACTAATGAACTAATTGTATTCAGAAAAATGACAGTTTTTAATGAGGTTTTCTAATAATCATCTGTTGTATTCCATAGTTATGACTCCATTACGTGCTATCAGACATGAGACACTTAGGTAGTACGTATGTGAAAGTGTGGAACGGCACTGTTGCATTACTTCCACATTGCATTTCTCAAATGACAGATTTGAGAGAACAAGAAAACAATCTCATGAATGCAGTTCTAACATGTAGAGAATGAAATAGTCCGATGGTACCAAATAAAGGTTTAAAAAAAGGATATTTCTGCTTAAAATTATTCTGTCAAGAAAACATTGCCTTATGTAATGTGAGTGCTAGAAACAATAAATTATGCGTGAGAAGAAAATTATTACAAATTTCTCTAATAAATTACACTATTTTTGTGAAATGTAATATTAATTTGTAGAATATATTTTACATCACTTTTTAATCAGCATAGGTCATGAACGTTTAAATTGAGTCTCTAGCACTCTCAACCCGTACTTAATATGTTGCAGCAACTGGTAAAGTCATTTGAGGTATGTGACCTACCGGTAAGAGCAGCCCGCTTTGTTCCACGTAAAAACTGGGTGGTCACAGGATCGGTAAGTACTTTCAATGTTATTGTTACGACAGAGTTACTGTCCAACAAAACTATCCATAAATCAGGGTTCTCCAAGCTTTTTCATTATAGCATGGCGGGGCTGCCTTTACGGTCCTAGTTTTAGCATTTTTAGCTCATCTGACATAGTCAGATGCAGCTTGTAGAATCGCATGATCGTCCGTCCGTGCGTGCGTCCGTCCGTCAACAGTTGGGCACAAATCTTAACCGCTCGACGTACGGTCACGATATTCGGGACGTTGGGGGGGATCGTCAAAACGAGTTGGGATGTCGAAGCTGGGGGTCAATTGTCAAAGGTCTAGAGGTCTAAAAGAAGGGGGAACATTCCCTCCTTAACTTAAGGTATAGGGAGGAAATGCAGAATTGCGGCACAAATCTAAACGGCTCGACCTAGTCTTGTGATAGTCGGTGTATAGCATCATGGTAGGAAAAGCCATCACTGTGCCTAAATTGGAGGTCACAGGTCAAAGATCAATGAGGCAGGGCAGATTTTAGACATTTGCTGAGGACATGGTCTGACGGAGCGATTGGAAAACTTTTTTGTTTCAGCGGTGACCTAGCATTTTTATGGCTTTATTGAAAGGACCATGAAATGTACTTTCTGCTGACATGCGAAGAGTAAGTGTCGGATAATTTTTTGACCCTTAAGAGAAGGGTTAAACATGGAATTGTTGACTGTTAACAAAGGACTGAACTGCTTTTGCTAAATATTGTGGATGTGAGGCTACAGTTGCACAGTTCAATTGCAAAGGCAAATGTTTGTTGAACAAGGTTTACGCTCCTTAAATCATTATTTTCTAAAGCAGTCTGTATTAGCACCCTGAGTAGCACCCTGTAATAGCACACTGTAATGAATCCTGAATGCTTGCGTGTGTAGGCAAAAACAT